AGGATTAGGGGATGGGTGTTATCCCGAAGTTTGGCTGACCTGAGTAATGCAGTACATCTCCCAAGCTGAAGCGGTATTGTTGTCCAATTTCGTACGTCTGCTTTCCTCGTAGTACCATATTCGGATGGTACATTGAGTAGTACCATTGCTTTTTTGTTCCGTGTCATAGGCTAGGACATAAATTTCTCTTTGAAGGAAATTTGCTGCCATTGCTAATGTTTCGCTGCAGCCCCAATTATAGCGCGGCACAATCGCCTCTCTCTGAGAGGGAGAGTCCGCATACTCTTCCCTGTACCACTTAACCCTTCTAATACGAAGGCTGTTCCGGATTATCCGTGATTATAACATATGAAGTAAACTATACCGGAAAATCAGTACTTTATATCATGTATGCAGCCCTTTTGTCTGAGACGTTGATTGCCTAGAGAATGTGATTGGCTAATCGTTAGAGATGGGCAGTACGAAAATCGTCCTAATTACTGTCAATTGCGATCTCCCTGCAAAACCGTTGGGCATTACCCAAACGACAACACAACAAAATGTGAACATCATTCCCAAGTGCCATTCATTAGTCTTCTTCACTCTCGCTACAGACCTCGCGTCTACGCTTCTCTACAAACCGGATTTTGTGCTGCATCTCAGCAGGAATAGCCATGCCGTTGCGCCAGCTCTGGTGCCATACTTCGTTGCAGGTGAGAGCGCTACCGTGGTCTAGTCGGCGAGCCTTATTGCATAGAGTAACGCGCCCCTTCTTGACTCTTGAGCACGTCGCGCAAAAATAGCTCGTTTCGAAGCTGCGGACGCCAGGACCCGCGTACGCTGAGCAGACCTTACAGAGCCACTGGCGGCGCTTGTTTCCGTTTTTCTCTTCCGTTATCTCGAGCGTGTGCGCGCTTCGAGGAAGTGGCTCGGTCACGAGGTCTGCTAAGTCATCGTCCCCGGCAAAATCTTCGCTTGTCTGACTCAACAGGGCAATATGTAGTCGCCGCATGAACACGGCATGCGTGGGAACGGGCTTGTTGAGACGACGCAGGGCGATCTTGTGAATGATAAAAGCATTTACCATAGCAATATCCACTAAGCCGAGAAAAATGGTCTTGTAGTACTTTCGCATGCGGATGGAGCGCTGGATTGAGTACCGTTGAAGGCGTAGTTGATCATGAACGTCCACACCTCCCATCGCTTCATGGTAATCTCGAACCAGCTGAGGGCATGGGACTTGGGAGATCGATCCGCCGGGCTCTCTACGGGTGACGTGAGTAATTTGGGTGGAGCAACCAGTCGGTAAGAATGTAACTGGCTTGCTGTCCATCCACGACAGAGCTACGAACTCGGGGCGATCTCTCCATACAGCTATTCGGTAAGTTCCTCTGGCCATTTTCTTCGGTCTCTTTTTCTGCGTAAAGTCAATAGCTTTACACCACCCTTTCCGGTCCTTGCGAATGGTCCCGACGTGGTAGTGGCCCATACTGAGGAGTTTGTCCGATAACGGGATTGACGTATAGAAATTGTCTGTACAAATAAGCCTCTGAGAAGGCTGTCCTTGTAGTACGCGCGTCACATTCTTCACCACAGCTCGCTGCGCCACAGCGTCTTCGTTAGCGTTCGCTTTCCCGCAGTAAATTTCCAGTCTACACATACAAACACACCATATTGTTAGCGATAAGGCGAATACAATATGGATAGTGCGGAACACATTACGGATGCACTGAACCAAAACTACCACGGATATCCGCCACATGTGCCGGATATCCGTAATAAACGTACAACATACCTCGAGCAATACGCGGTGTCCGCGCAGCACGTCATGTAGCACTTCGTACCCCACTTGTTCGGCTTGTTGGACATGTACTGGCGCATTGGATTGCGGCGGTGACGCATTGGCACCATCCCCTCGTCGAACGAAATTCGCGCACCGAGCCGATATCCGCGGAAGAATGTCTTCGGCAAAGCTTGAATAACAGGACGGATCTTGAACGCACGATCCGCACTGTCGTGCTGCCGGGCATTGTCGTTGAAATGCAAGTAGCGAGCAATGTCGTGGAAACGATCCCGACTCATGAACTGTCCGAATGTACCGCGGGATAGTGCACCCTCAGCCTTCGTAATCCAATGACGACTGAGACTCTCTCGGCGCGGCTCCAGCGTTCTCGCGACAAGTAGTCCAATAAAGCGAACAATCTCATGGGGCTGTATTGAGCTCTTGCGTTCCAACTTTCTTCTGTAATCCTCGGTAGTGAGTACAGCAGTCGACGGAACGGTCTCGCGACGGAGAAGGGCACGTGCTCGCATCTGCTGGGCGATAGATTCCGCACTGCCTCGGCGAAACTTGTTCGTTTCATTTGCGATTTTTCGCCACAGCTCCTTCGGCAAGAAGAAATAGAAGATCGCCAATGGGTTTTCAGCGTAAGCTAAAGCAGCGCGAGTTGGACCAGACGGACCTTCGTAGAGAGAAGAGCCCTCCCGCAGTACTTGACAAGACTGCTGCTCCATGTAGACGTCCCAGCCTCCTGCGCGGAGGTTATCCAAGTCTTCACTAGTCAGATCAAAGTCCACAGGCACATCATCATCTTCATTCGCAAGATCGTCACCACTCTCGTCACTGGCGACTGAAGCAATGTCGTCCACAGATTCATCATCATTTCCATCTTGGAGAATGAGCTCTTCGTCACCTTCTGCATCCGAATCTAGGGCTCGCAACCAGTCCTCTCCTCCCCTGTTGAAATCATCAGCATCGAGATCTTCGAATAAAGTGTCCCGCCGCAGGGCATTGATAAAGTCATCAGAATCAAAATCGTCAAGAGAGACACCGGTTCGGAGGCCAGCACGCGCGGCATTCAGTGCTTCCGGAATTGTCACTTCCGGATTATCCGTCCTTTCAGCAGGAATATCCGGACCAGTCTGGTAGGTAGTATCTGGAACAACTTGGGTGGTATCCAGAATAGGGGGTTCTGTATAAACCGTTATAAATACGTTAGTAAAGCTCAAGCAGAGGCCAACTGATAAATTTACCAGCGCGACGTTGTTTAGAAGCTTGGCTTGACGCTGAAGACTTGTGTTGGCTGGCCGTTTGTGGTGTTCGTTCAACTGCATGCGACCTGGACGTGTTGTCACGAGGGCTAGCCTTTGCTGCAGGCCTCGGCTGTCGTGGCGCATCTTTCGCTGCGGCTGAAAGCTCACTTTCACACGTCGTGTGTGGATCGGGGGTCTGTGCAGCACCAGACAACATCAAAGCAACTGGTGACGCGGTGGACGGTGTTGGGTTTAGTAAAGGGTCAAACGATAGCCACCCTTGCCTTCGGCAATAGTTCATTAGACTCTTGTCACCTATTCCAAAAGGGGTTAGATAGTAAAGCAGCATGAAACAGTGTTCATAAGTAACGTACCGAGGAAATAGTCAACGCCTTCCGTTCCTTTGAGACTCCCACCCGGCGGCAGATACCTCCGATCGTCGCTCAGCCCCAACGACTTTCGAAACTTCCAGCCTTTCTTGGTAAGCTCGTTCCACATATGGGCGAACGTTTTCTCGGTAGCGTAGGCGTACATATTCTCGAAACAAGAGTGATGGTCTCTTCTCGGGCGCAGATCTCGAAATGAAAGGCTGGCGAGCGCCCCCAGTTTCTTATATCTGCAACCCTAACCACTTTCTAAATATTTCATGTCTCATCGGTCGGAGCTGCTACAGTTGGCCTGCTAAAATTTATCCTATACAAATATCAATATATGGATTTTTAGTGCTGCAAATCTGTTGCGGACAATGCGGAACAATTTCATCTTTGAAATTACATTCCGGATAATCCGTAATGGTCGTATTAGAAGATTTAAATTGCTTTAGTGATTCATGCGGTTCCATTGCACCCCAGCCTCGATCAACATTAACCAGTGTCGCCTTTCGGGTGTAGTGATCGAGCTGATCATGTATGTGCAGTTGACCTGCCCATTTAATTCCTTGCTTGAGGCTACGGGTTATGGCCTCCAGTCTGTCGCTTCGTGCTGCCAAATCCCAGTCCGGGACTGCTTCTGCAAGAGCCATTGGCATTAACTTGTTGAAGTTCGAGACTGTGCTCAATGTATTGAAAACTTGTTAGTGTTTGACCTGAAAAGGCGGCTGGTCGGAGAATTTGTCCGATCTGTCCATGAACCTTTCGAAATTCCGCCAAGAGGGCCTTCCGTTCTCGCTGTTTCAGTCCCACTAGTTGTGGTGGTGAGCGGAGTTTCGACGCCTTGGCTACTACCAAATGAAGCTTCGCCTTGGCAGCTGGAGTGATGGGTATCGGAGCTTTTTCTTTAAGTTTATCGTATGTGTTTATTTCGATTGGCTTGTCTTTCGTCTCATTCGTAATCGGTTCGCCGATGCCTTCATTCAGTTCCTTGGTGTCTTCTTCGTCAAGTACAGCGAACCTTGACGGGTCGACGCTCTACCTTTGCTTGAGGGAAGCCACATGCGCATACAGAGTCCTCCCGTTTCTGAGTGGCTTGGTGACCCATTTCGTCTTTGGTTCAGGCTGAACCTCCATCCTTCTGTTTTCCTGATCAGGGTTGTCTACGCGTACTAAGGATTTCTCCGCTTGTTGTCAATTAGGTTGCCTGCCACTTGTGTTATCGGCATTGTCTGGTGATAACGCAGCTTGAGCAGTACGAAATTCCACCTGTTGAATATCCAATCTCTTCGCTGCTGCTGATTTGACCTCCTCCATTGTTGTGAATGGCTTAGTCCGATCTTCTAGCTGTTTAACTTCCTCGAATACCTGATCCTTTCAATTGAATGTCCGTGTATCGGCATCTCCCCATTGTATGCCCGATGTTGCCACATCTTAAGCATTGTAGCTGACCTCGTACACTGGGGTGCTTCAGCACCAAGGGTCTTCCAAACCATATGATCCTTACGATACTCCTTAAAAATTCAGGACACTCTGCTGTGTGTACTGTGAGGCGCCAGACTACCGATGTCCTTGATTCCGGTCGGCAGGTGTCTAGGTCATCCAGTTCAAACTTCGCCGTTATGTTTTGCTGCAAGTAAGCTTCACTTCTCCCAATATCCGTGAGCCTCGTGATATTGTAGATGTCCACTTCATATTGCCGTTGAGGTGATTTACGCGTGCCGTCTTGTGCCAATTGTCTCGTCCAGACTGAACCCGTATCTGGTCCATGGACGTTAGCGAGACGGTAGAAAGGAACTTGTACATTCTGATATTGACGAGCTGCGGCTCTATCAAAAAAGAAGAAATGTAAACTCCGATGAACATGATTGTAGCTGATCGTTTTGACTGAACTGCGCATTTTGCGTAGGTCTGGCGTATTGGTGTGCATTGCTTCCGCTGCCCTTCGTATGTCCTCTTGAATAGCTTGCGTATGTTGGCGGCTCTCACGAATTATTGTTCCGCCCCGTAGCTGCAACAGTAGCTCTCCTTCGACCTGACTTTGAATAGCTCGGTGCAGACGTAGCCGATCTTTAAAGTCAAGAATGTTCTTGAGGAAATCTGGCTTCCTTCGACAAACGATCGTTCCTTCTGCCATTCCCCCAATGATTCTCCACTCATCTGCAGTTCCAGATCTGAGTTGTCTGCCTGCGGTAGCTGCCGCTGGCTGTTCACAAAGTTCTCGAAGTCTCTCGATGTCTTGCTGATTACAGATGGCTTGGTTAAACATGAAGTCCTGGTATGTTGCTACGTTTGACGTCGTTCCTGTATTCCCCTCTTTGAACTATTCTGTCGCTTTAACCTTTGCTGCCCATTGATTGAGTGGTTTGGTGTTCGCCCACTTTACTTTGCTAATCGTTCCATACATGATTGTCTTGAACGATCTTTTCGTGTTGTATAGTTTTTGAGTAGCCGCTAGTGCGTAACGCTCCCGGTCTTCATACTGCCCCGTTGTGAGTACACATGTTTCCCTAAACATCCTGAACAGTAAGGTTTTCTCTCGCGTTTCAGCTTTGGGTATCTCCGTTTTCCAGTAGGGATTAAATTCTCGTCCAGCTTTACTTTCCCATTGACTATGTTATACAATTTACAGATCGTCATAATCCATGCCGTGCGTGGCTGGTCGCTGTCTGCCTTCTTCATTTCTTCGGCAATGGCGTCAAACATTTCTTTGGGCGCTACGTCCAGTGTTTCACGCCTACTGTCAGCTTGAATATCAGACTGATTGCGTGCCTCTTCCTTAAGTGATTCTCCATTGTCATGCTTTTTTTCTTTGCTTCTCGACTGCGTCTCTTCTCTTTGAGCTCCTGGTTCATCTGCTTTGTCGTCGTCGTCTTTGTAACATACTTCTTCGTCTCCCATGTCAGCTTTGTCTCTCTTGGACTCCTAGTTTTCGTAGTCAGTGGTTACGTTCCGCTCAAGATCCTCCATTTCATCATCGGATTGTTGTGTTTCTGGTACTATGGAGTCTTGGCTTAACCCTTCTTCTTCCTTATTATACGTCATTCTAGACAAGTGAAGGGAAGAAGGGCTTATCACCTGGACGCGCGCGGCCATATCCGGCGGCCTGCCCTTCCCCGGGTCCTTGGGGGCTTTCATGCTAGAAGATTCTTTGAAAAGATCTCTTTAGAAAAACCTAGTGATTCTAAGTTTGGGCTGGGTACACTTCGATTTTTCGAACGCCGACAACTGGTATTGGTCTGCCGGGGCTTTGCTGCTGATTCAAAAGTTGCGACAGCTGCAATAGGGAAAAACTATGGAGCTCGAGGTACCCAAATTTAGAAATAGGCCTATTTGATGTATCCAAATGCATTTGTGTTTTAAACACAGGTGTCAGGTTGGACTTTAATTGAGCTGCCACAACATCAACACAACTAAAAACTTTGCACGTCCGAGATGACAGTGATGATTACAAAAAGTTCACCATTGGAGAAGACTCAGGATTAAAAAATCCTACTAGTCACTTCTCTTCTTCAAAGTCAGGTTTCATTACAGTCATTTAGCTGCCCTAATGACCACGATAATACATGTACTAGTCACTACTCCAAAGCAGAACATTTCGTTTAACCTTTTTTTTGGCTGCATGAATTCCCTTCATTTATTTAATGAGCTTGGGAGGTAGACTATTCTATAAAATGCAATACGCTTCGACTCGACGCTGCGGCAGCGCTGTATACCAGACCTGTTCTCCGCATAAGTGCCCCTCCTCGTCCACGGACCCCTTCGTAGGTTTAGAGAACACTAGAGTGGTCTATCGTTCTTTCTTGTGATATTTTGTGTATCTTAGCAGTCTATGGGGGTACTGTATGCAACATTTGCTACGTAGTCGATGAGCACTTTGCGTCATTGGAGTGGCCATAACATTCTTCTTTAGAGCTAAGTGGATGAACGGGATAATACTACTTAAGTATCTACCAGTGCTGCTGTGGTTGATGAAGGGATGACCCTGACAAACACCTTTAACCGCTAGACAAACACCATTTACAGAAAGAAAATCAAGGAAAGCCCTAGATTTTCTACAGAGCTATAGGTATCAAGGAACGAAGCGCTGTATAAATGCTGACTTCTTCTCACACGGTACAGGATATCCTACGGCGCTCCGCCGAAAAATCTAGGAAGCGCACTATTAACCCCCCAACGCCCAAGCCGTTTTTTTACGTTATTTCAAATCATCCAACATAGTACTCATCCAACATGTAAAACCGTGCAACACTTGACTTTACTATAGTCTCGTATAATTCTGAGCACCTTTCTTGTACATGCACAACAAGACAATTTCTGCAAATCCCGTCACCATGTTGTATGTACACCAGATCAAAGTTGTATATACACCGGCAGACTGCTTGAATATGGCGTACATCCAGCATGATGGAGGTTTCAAAAAAAGGTGTCGATGTATCTTTTATCAAGAGACTGCACGAAGCCGATCAAACCGGTGCAAAGCTGGGGAGTTTGAAGACAACGAAAAGCACACATCAATTGAATACAGTAAGAAAAAACACATATTGCAGCACTACGTTCATCCACCACCAGTTATCGGCTCACTCAGTCTCGCTACCTTCTCTGTCGTCGTCGTGCGCTACGCTGTCGCTGTCGCTCCCCTCGCTAATACCTTCCTCCTCCTCTCCATCACTACTTTGGCGGCGGCGCTTACCTTTCCTCCAGCCTAGCGATTCTGGAATCCTCGTCCACATCGCGCCCTGGGGCATTTTGCTCCATTTGCCCACTTGTGATGCCAGATCTGGTGGCAGCTCAGAGCGTTGCCAGGATAGTGGTGCGGCCAAATACGAGTACACAGATACATGCTGTACAAAACGAGCAACAGTTAGTAGTCGTTTCAGCCATATCGAATTCGTACGTACCGAGCTTTATCAGAAGTGCTGCAGGCATCGCAATAGTATTTGGTGGCTCGACGCTCTCCCACCCGGCGCTTCAGAATTGCGCACACTTTGCATTGGCGCTGCCGGCGCTTGCGCACGCCTTTCACGATCTGGTACTCAGGACCTTCCCAAGGTTCGTGGCCAGGTGGCAAGGGTGGAAGCTCGTCGCCAGCTGCGGTCTCTTGTGGTCTTGGCTGTCAACATACAGCATGTGGGTCATACAACATGTCAGCATTATCCAACATGATCCAGATACATCATCAGGACTTACACTTTCATCGAAGTCGTACTTGGTCAGAGCAAACAGCTGGGCATGAAGCTCCACTAGGAATTCTGCGTGCGACATTGGAGACCCACCATTTCGCTTCTGTGCCTCACGAAAGATGATATACGCATTCACAATCGCCACATCCACAAGCCCCAAGAATATGGACTTGTAGTATTTTTTGCACCAAGTCTGCAACTGCAACGAGTAACGCTGGAGGCGCAGCTGGTCATGGACATCCACGCCCCCCATCCATTTGTGATAGTCTCAAATCATAGCAGGACAAGGGACATCAGTCCGTCTGCCGTGTGTTCCACGTGTACGCCTCTCTGATAACAAGCACAACATAGATTAGATGAATAGGAAACAGCACTCCTCTTGCATATACGTACGACACTCCTCCATCGCACGGCTCTTCAAGTCCCCAAGAATTGCACGGGTTTTCTATCCCACCACACTTAAGCCGTCATTAGGGGTCAAGCTTTTGCCACTGCCATTCTTGTTGTACCGTGCGGTATGCTTTTGGGTCGGTCTCGATTTTTTTCAACAATTTGCTGAGGATAGCCCACTTTGTCACCCATTATCGTGCCGATACTGTAGACATTCCTGTGTAGTAGTTGAAACGCCAGTTGAACTGACGTATAAAAATGATCCGTCACTACAATGTGATAGACGTCATCTTCGGGTGGTGGCAGGACAGCTTCCAAGTTTCGGATAACTGCTGACGGCCCGGTGTTTGGATCTGCAGATCGCTGACTGTCTGGAACGTTGCCTACTTCATGGACCTGCTGCGCTTTGCCACAATGCACCTCAAGTCTTCTTGTTGTAGGATACAGGATACAAGCATACAACATTAGATACAACATGATAGACTTGGTCAAAAAAAAAAACTGCGAGTCCGCAAGGACTCGCAGTCATCTCACCTCATACAGTAGGAAGTATCTGCACAACACGTCAGAAAAAGCTTTGTCCCCCACTTGTGAGGCTTCGCCTTGAGATATTGACGCGTAGGATTGTTCCGGTTCTTCAGAGGTAGAACGCCCTCATCAAATGATATGATCGGCGGCGTTTTGTAACCCAACGGAAACGTTTCTTGCAGCGTTTCAACGATAGACCTGACTTTCCAGGCGCGGTCAGCTGCTGCTCTCGTGTCTGCGTTGTTGGTGAAGTGAAGATTTCCCATGATGTGTTCATTGGCGAATCGCGGCAAAAAATCGTTGAACGTCCCCCGTGGGATAGCTCCCACTGCATTAGTGCCCCAATGATCACGTAACCTGCGGCGGTGAGGGTTCAGCATTCTTGCCATCAGTAATCCAAGCGCTTACAGTATCCGTGCGGCTTAACGTCCCGCTTCTTGGCCTCGCGATGCAAAAACCACTCTTTGGACTTCTTGGCAGGTGTCTTCTACGAGCTGAACATACGCTCCACTCGTGAAGTGAGGTTCTGCACATAGGAGCGATTGGTTTCCTTTGCAACTTGTCTCCACAAATTCTTCGGCATGGAAAAGAAGAATAGCTTAAGCGGTGAGTGTGCCAGGGCCAGTACCTCGTCGGTTGGTCCATACTCCCCAGAATATAATCCTGGGTAATGTTGGTCAGGCGGGAAATTGTCTGGGTCTACATGTTGTATATACATCATATATCATGTTAGAATATGTTGTAGGTTACACCCCTCATTGTCACGAACCTAAGTTCCACCCGTTAGCTCGCATGGCAGCCATGTTGTCATCGTCCATCACAAAATCAACCATATCCGGCTTCTCCAAGACGCTCCACTGCTGTGTCGAACCAGCTGCTTCTCCATCAGCACTCATAGTATCTGATCCAGCCTCACTATCGTCCTCATCACTGTAGTCTTCACCCGACGCAAAGCCCTCACCTTCACTTCTCGCTCGACTCCACTCGTCATCATCATCGCAAAACGTAATCTCGGTCTCTGTTTCCTCGCAATCAGAGCTCACCGCATCAAACTCGTCAGCGGAAGCGGGGGCAGCGATAGGAGAGGCTGAGACCGACGTTCTTTCAGGCGAAATTGGAGCGGAACACAGCGAGTCTGGGACAGAAGTCGGCGAAACAGGGGTAGAGCTTGCCGCGTCGGGGACAGGAGTCTGGGAAATGGATGATTAGCTTTCACTATGATACGCACAACGTTAGTATACATAATCAGCATCAAAGACTTTGCCACGTACCAATCGTCTTCTGGTGCTGCAACTGGACATTCAGCGCTGGACATTCAGGAGCTGGCCATTCAGGAGTCGGGGGTGGCGCAGGCGCTGCAGACAACGTTCGAGGCGACGGTGCTTCTGACGTATCTTGAGGATCGGTGGAACCCCTGTCGATAGACAATATATGTTAGCTGCTGTTCATGTTGTATACATGCTGTCGATAACAGCGTTGTAGGGAAAGCATAGCGACGCTGTATCCATGTTGTATGTCCCAAATGTTGTATGTACCTGCGCAACGTACAACAACACTTCGTGAGAACATGTAGTATCTGACAGTATAAAACATAGTGTACCTCTCAGGTGTCCCACTTGGTTGGCGGCTCCTCTTCTTGTTCGCTTCAGCAATCGCCTCCAATCTCTTCCTGGCCTCGGCCAAAGCGATGCTCCCTTGTTCCTCGGCATTCGCCGAATCTTCATAGCGCGATTCGGCAGCTGCTTTTGCCGCTGCCTTAGCAACTTGCGACGCGGTGGGTTTTCGTGGCTTCTTGGTCGGGGTTGCCTTCTTGGTCGGGGTCGCCTTCTTCGTCAGGGTCGCCTTCTTGGTCGGAGTCGCCGCGGCCGTCTTCTTCTTCTTCTTCTTTGGCGGCCGTGTCTTGACTGGGGAGTCTGCTGCATCCAGTCGCTCATCGGTTGCATCAGCATTCGCTTCCTCGTCGAACAGATCGGGATCATAGTCCTCATCATCGTCGCTCAAGTCCCTACTAGCAGCCAACCGTTTCTTGCCGGAGCCTGCCAACGTCTTTGCGGCGACAGCACGTTGCTGCTGCGAGATCAAACATCGCTGCGCACGCATGTAAGAGGCATCTTTGCCGATCGGAGCCGGAAGCAGAGGACGAGCTGTCGCGCTGCGTGTAGGTGCTGGATCTTCTCCGAAGTCAGCATCCTCCTCTCGTTCGCCAGCCAGGTACGCCGCATGCTCCTTCCTGATGCACTCTCGGTCGTGCGCAGTTCGGCCATCCAGACGTTGCAGGAACTGCTGGCGTTCGCGTCGTGTTTCTTGAGGCGGGGTCATCGTGCACACGTGTCTCCCCTTCAGGTCTTTTCTCGAAATGAGCTCTCAGCCACCAACCAAGGGGAGAATCTGAATTGTTTATTGCCAAAGAGACTGATCTCAACAACCCCAGCCCTGTGCATTCTCAAGTTTGCCCATCTTTTGCAACAAAATAGCCCAACTTTTAACATGTTGTACGTACAACATGATTCCTGCTGTACGTACAGCCGTTGGGCGTTGGGGGGTTAAAGGTCCATGGCTACTTGTGATTCAGCGAAACTCAACACTACGCGATTAAGTTTAGACGTGTCAATGTACGATTTGTTGGTCTAGTTCGCATTCAAAAACGCCTACACTTGCTCTAGAATGGTCGATTGTCGCCTCATTTAGGGAGATCGATGTATCACTCTACTTTAAGCCACCGATTAGCAGAGCTGAGGCGTAAATATGGCTTTGTGATTTATTACAATACATCTCCGCTAATTCTTTGAGCGAGGCATACCGCATTCTCTTGGCCCAGTTCACCACATTGCAATTCAGGCTGTGGTACAGCGAGACCTTTGGATCATTTTTTGGGTACATCATATAGCCCTATTTCTAAATTTGGATACCTCGAGCTCCCTAAGCTCCAGCTCCATAGTTTTTCCCGATGAACATAGCCTCGATTTTTTGGGCGGAACGTAAGACACACACTTTTCGCTTAAGTGTAGCAGGCGAATTTGAGCAGATATTCAAACAGCTGCCGACAAAACTAAATGTAGGATTTTCTCGATCAAGGTGCAGATCCACGAAGCTCCATACAAAGTGTAGGTTGTAGCCTACCTCCACATGATCATCCTTGCATCCAACGAGCGGCTAGAAACCACCGTGTGCCCAGAGTCCTGTAGGATTCATTTGCAGTTTTGCTGGAACGAACGGAAGCAATAGTTATGGCGTCAGGTCTGATGCAGAGCTACTACAGGTGGGCAAATGCCACGGAGGCCAAGGTGCTAGACTGGGTCGACCCTGAGGGAGGCTGGAAAGCTCACCCCATGACACACTACCCACTGGCAGACTTCGCCAGCGTCTTTGCTATTTGCGTCGCCTACGTCCTGTTTGTCGTGTTTGGATCGGTGAGTTGCACGATGGTCTTTCATTTTCGTATCTTTGACTCAGGGTTTGTTGATGCGTTTACTACGTACCAGGCTCTCATGAAGCAAGGCATCCCTACGATCAAAACTGGTTCAATCCAGTTCATCTACAATCCCATCCAGGTTATTGTGTGCTCCTACATGTTCATGGAGACGGCCATCCAGGCCTACCGTAACGGTTTTTTTTTTTTTACTCGCCTGCCCCGTGCAACGCTTTCAAAGCCGACGACCCCGTAATGGGCAACGTGCTCTACTTTTTCTATTTGTCCAAGATGCTCGATCTGTGTAATACTGTTTTCATCGTTGTGGGCAAGAAGTGGCGACAACTGTCGTTCCTGCACGTGTACCACCATCTCTCGGTGCTGATCATTTACTACATCGTCTTCCGCGTGGCGCAGGACGGCGACTCTTACGCGTCGGTGGTGCTCAATGGCTTCGTACACACCATCATGTACACGTACTACTTTGTGAGCGCGCACACCCGCGATATCTGGTGGAAGCGGTACTTGACAATGATCCAGCTCATCCAGTTCGTGACCATGAATGTGCAGGGCTACTTCATGTACTCTCGCCGCTGCCCAGGTATGCCGCCGATGATCCCGCTCATCTATTTGGTGTACGTGCAGTCGCTGTTCTGGCAAAGGTGTCATGTAATAAGAAACTGTAAGACACTCGGACATCATACACAAATCGCTAGCCTTTATGCTAGATTCGACTCTGCTAACTCCTGTAAATACGTTCGTGTCGTTTGTTTATACATTGGGTCACCTTTCATGCGAGTTCATGCTCTTCGTTGGCAGCAACCATCAATTAGGCGGCTAACCCCTGAACGCAGCGTATCTACTTCGAAATACTATTACTACGTAGTATTAAATTTGTCTGTTTCTGTCCTACAATAAAGGGCGCTTACTCCCTGGAGAGACCTCCAGTAATACTAGAGAGTGAGAGTAATACTGGAGACTGATGAGTAGGCGCCCTTTGAGCAAGGTCCAGTGGACTTGACCTGGTCCACTAAGTCTGGTTAATCGTAAGCTATGTACAGTACTTGCCCACTACGCTGCAACGCCACGCGCGGCATTTACCACCACCATAACCATTTAACATGCCTGCACGAGACTCGCTGTTGCAACCTTGCGTCTTATCAAAAGACGGTCTGCGACGTCCTGTTCGTCACCAGCATAACCCGCGACAAGATACATATGAGGTCAACACGGCGAACACCTTCAGGACCGTTCTTAAGCAGCACGAGGGATGGCGTTCAATACTCTGTGCCGATCCTCTGCGCCGTTGGGTGGCTCTGGTTGCTTTGAGAGCCCTCTTGCGTCATCGGAGGACGTAAACGACTTTGCGGAAGGCTTCAAGAGCGTACTGCTGTCATCACTCTGTCGGCCAAGATGACACATGACATCATAACTCGGCACGGAAATTCATCAGTTCCCCTCCGCAAATCGATTCACTGGTCTTCACTAAGACCTCGATAGTGGCACTTGGATCCGAACCCCAAACCGCCGAATGGTGCTTCGCTCGAAATGACACGCAAAAGTGATTGGCGGTGACGTCCAACTGCAGCGCCTCCTCATTCGCGCTTTTGCCGGTTCGCACGTCCATCGTCTACTCACCAACAAGAAGTCATGTCGACTGAGCTACTGCAGAGCTACTACGCGTGGGCCAACGCCACGGAGGCCAAGCTGCTGGACTGGGTCGACCCTGAGGGCGGCTGGAAGGTGCATCCTATGGCAGACTACCCCCTAGCCAACTTCTCCAGCGTCTACGCCATCTGCGTCGGATACTTGCTCTTCGTAATCTTCGGCACGGTGCGTGTATCTCCCCATTTCGATGATCCTGGCAATTTCCGTCTAACATTATTGTTTTTATGCTACTTTTCGCCAGGCCCTGATGAAAATGGGAGTCCCCGCCATCAAGACCAGTCCATTACAGTTTGTGTACAACCCCATCCAAGTCATTGCCTGCTCTTATATGTGCGTGGAGGCCGCCATCCAGGCCTACCGCAACGGCTACACCGCCGCCCCGTGCAACGCCTTTAAGTCCGACGACCCCGTCATGGGCAACGTTCTGTACCTCTTCTATCTCTCCAAGATGCTCGACCTGTGCGACACAGTCTTCATTATCCTAGGAAAGAAGTGGAAACAGCTTTCCATCTTGCACGTGTACCACCACCTTACCGTGCTTTTCGTCTACTATGTGACGTTCCGCGCCGCTCAGGACGGGGACTCATATGCTACCATCGTGCTCAACGGCTTCGTGCACACCATCATGTACACTTACTACTTCGTCAGCGCCCACACGCGCAACATTTGGTGGAAGAAGTACCTCACGCGCATTCAGCTTATCCAGTTCGTGACCATGAACGTGCAGGGCTACCTGACCTACTCTCGACAGTGCCCAGGCATGCCTCCTAAGGTGCCGCTCATGTACCTTGTGTACGTGCAGTCACTCTTCTGGCTCTTCATGAATTTCTACATTCGCGCGTACGTGTTCGGCCCCAAGAAACCGGCCGTGGAGGAATCGAAGAAGAAGTTGTAACGGCGCTTGTTAAAAAGTCTAACCTCGCTGTAACAGCTTAAAACACACACACACACAACGCTTTGTAGAGGAGGTAAGTAGTGGCAACTCGTGTAGAAATGCAGCATGCCCATCAAATACATCCCGTATGATTCATACTACTACTATGAAAGCTACTACGTAGTATTACATGTACGGTACTAATATACAGCTACGAAGTAGTACTACTGAAGTTTTTGACGAGAGAGTTGAGCTGGTCTTAAAATATTGCGAAGATATTACCAGTATTCATGCTGGTTTCACCCACGGGTGTCTAATTTATGTAATTAATATTTTTCTAACTAACACAAATTATTATAGTCACACAGTATCTCGCATAGACTAATTTTGAACATAAATTAATTATGAGTCCTCAAAATAACGGACGCGCCCTATTAGAGTCCGAATTATATTAAATAGTGCCGCCCGAAAGTGACAGAGAGGACTTTAAGCAGGTGAGGACTTTATTCCTTGCTGATATGATTCGTGTACCAGGTTAATATCGTCTAACGTATCATCTAACTCTAAAGGATTTAACAGATCGACGTCTTCGTCCATATGCGGTTCCTTCGACCAGTTTTCACGAAATTTAGCGCCATACACATCGTGCTTGGGTAAAAACCACGACGAGGGGTCTCTCGAGAAGCCTGCTATTTCAGCGCTCCGCATGATTGTTGCCTCATCCGTGTCTCGCCACGCGCGGAGGCCCCAATCGCAAACGGTGTCAACACTTGGCATACGTGGGCTACCAAAGCGAGTGCATTCGACTCGGTCTGACTCTTTCCAAGCGTTATTTCCAGTAGGCCCTTAAAACGACATATTTAGTCCACTTGATCACCTCTTGCTTACGCTCACTGCTAACCGACTGCCTTTAATGAGGCATTATTGGAAATGACGGAAAAGTGTTTCTCTCTGTAGAATGGATGGTCAGCAAGTTTGTAATAGCAGATTTGGTAGCTTTTATAAGGTTTCTATTCGGGAGAGGCTTGTATAATAGTGCAGGCATGTACATGTAGTACCCCACAGGACACTATTCGGTAGGGGGCTTTTATTCGGGCGCATCCGTTAGTCTCATTGTACATCTAAATGGCGGTCTTAATGTTCGCCTTCCGATGGAACCGCTTCAGTTTCGTCGCTTAGCTCGTGCCCTCATACTCATGCGGATATTTGGCCACAATATCTTGTAAGCGGGGATAAGCCTTTTCGTAGACCACGTTCCATCAGCTACACACCGCATCATCGCTTTGCGAGCGTAGTTGACGCCATTCTTGTCTCGATTTGCGTTGACTTCTCTGACCGCAGCAGCTGTCATCTTCAGAAAAATGATCTACCGGGATTTTTCAGCTTACCTGAGTAGCTGTCATCTTTTCTCACCTTGTTCTGCCATTCCTTATATTCGATCTGTCATTTCACATGCGGGCCCATACATTTTTTTGCGATCACGACTGAGTCTTTTTCTTTTTTTTTTGGAGTCGTTGCCGCAACCATAATATGCGACATTTATGGTTGCTATACCAGAATTTCAAAAAACTCTTAGCGAAAGATAAATTATATTTAGCAAAGTATTTTACACCCACTTTAAAATACCGTATCAGCACCTAAGTACGAATATACTCGGTTAAGTACGATGATATTATTAAGTACGATTGCTCTGAGCCGCTCATATTTGAAACTGGGCAGACGGCCACGCGGTAGATTCGCGCCGCGCTAGTTGGCGTTGCGAGTACGAGGGACAGCGTGCGAAGGATAGGACGATGGCTAGTAGACTACATGAGTCGGGCTTTAGAGCTGTGGTTGTAGTTCTTACCACTTGTATGTGTTTGTGTGCGAACAGAAGCCCGAAGAACGCGAAATGTCAACGGACAACAGAAAATCACGTATAATGCGCTCGGGATCGAGGATGACGACGCCAGCGACGAAGACTACGTGTTGGAGGCCATTTCGGAGGATGAGGAAGAAGATGAGGACCTTTCCTCTGGCAAATCAAACGAGGGAAGCACAACAGCTGCCGGTAAGGTTGTTTGCTGCACTTTACGTTACTACATGTTTTGCTGAGCTGTTGTGTGGGGTGTACATGCATCTAGGAAAGCCAAGCGCTCAGAGTAACAAGAACAAAACGATACAGGGCAACGTGAAACCAGGTATGGTTGCTATATGCGTAAGGGTTGCTTTATTCAGCATCTTACAAGCTCACATTTTTGCTTGTTGCTAGATTCGAAGGCTACTAAACATTGCTGAAGCGCACTTCACCTCATATGCCAATGCAGTCTTCTCTGGTTAAGCGGAAAAGGCAGGAAACACCAGTGCAATCAAGTGGTGAATATTCGCCAAGAAAACGCGTGAGCAAGCACCTCACAGAGCTACAATCAATGAAATCAGGTGAAAATAAGATCGTGAATACAGTTCCAGCGTTTGGGCCGGCCAATATGATTAATTCTTGGGAGGAATTTGAGAAGATCTTCGATGCATACAAGAAGAAGTACAAGCTCAAGTTTCGGGTGCACATCTCAGAAAAGACGGTTCTTTACAACCGGTAAGTTTTGCTGTTAGGTTTGGCTGTATATCCAGACTAAAAGGTGGTTATTGTATCTGTAGCACCCATGAAGATCATATACCTACCGAGTTCGAGTGGTTCCAGAGGATTTACCGCTGTACGCACGGAGTATCTCAGGCCTCTAGATCTAAAGGCCACTGCAACCGGTCGACACGTTACTGTAGCTGCAAGGGAAGATTAACGCTCTCGCTGTGTGGACAATACCTATAAGATTGCTGTTCGGAACGAGGTATGTGACGAAAGCGTGCTCATTATCTGTTTGAATCTTTAACTTTTGTTTGACTTTGTAGAACCACACGCACTCACACCTAACTACCGGCACGGAGGCCTCTTCCTACCTCACGACCAAGACTCTACCGCTCGACGACCGCGATCGCGAGGATGTTAAGACCTTGGCTGACGCCCGTGTGTCGTCCTCCCACATCACCCGCTTTTTAAATGATCGCCTTGGTACGTGATGTAGCTATTTACGTGATGTAACTTCTTTAATTTTTTGCTTCCATTATGTCAACTTCTTCTTAGACTGTAAAGTGACGCCACAGCAGACGCGTAATCTTATCCGTAGCATCATGGGGAAGGATTCCGGTGAAGACCGTCTCAAGAATATGCTTCACGCTCTTCGGCAGCTTGATGGCAGCGATGTGCTCGTCATTCAAGACCAGTTTGACGTCACGTGCGGAGTTGTTATGTAGACAAAAATTCAATAGATGATGTTTGAGCGGTGGGGGGAAACGTTGGCAATGGTATTTACGCATGGAACGAATAACCTGGGCTATCATCTGGGTACATTTGACACAGCAACCTTACTTGATATAGTAACCCCCTGTAGCAACCTTAATTGATACAGTAACCGTTGTGGCAACCTTACCCGCTATCGCAACCTTGCTGATCATCATGTATTTCCTTGCTTGTAGGGAGTTTGGTTGTCACCACATGCACGGGTCGTGGCTTCCCTGTGGTTGATTTCATTTGCCTCAATGAGCAAGCAAAGACGATCTCCACGATTTTGGAGTACTTCAAGGAGAAGAATTCGCGTTGGGATCAAGTCGTGAGCGTGGTCATTGATAAAGACTTCACTGAATGGAAGGTACTTGAAGAGTCCTTCCCCAACGCGAAAATTCTCTTTTGCCAGTTCCACGCAATCTCCTACTGGAAGAAGATGATGAAGAGGTCTGTCTACGGAATGAAGACTGCGCAGAGTGAAGAGCTACTTGCCTTGATGGTGAAACTGCTTTTCAGGTATGTCGCCACGGTTCTTTCGATACACATATCTTGTCATACTTTCTTAACTAATTGTTATCTTAGCTCAACGCAGGATGCATACGACACTTACTACAAGAACCTTCAATCGTACTGCCAAAGCAACAAGAACCTCGCTTTCTTTGCGTATTTTGACAAGAACTGGAACACATACAATGGCATGTGGTCCAACTTTGCACGTAGTAAACATTTTACTGCTGGCAATACAACTACCAACAGGATCGAATCTAATTGGAACCAGCCCAAGATGCTGCTCGGGCGTAAAACAAGAATTGACCAGACCATCGCTGGATTGCTGCAGCACCAGATGACTATCACGCAGCAGATTGTCTCGGAGATCGGGCAGCTGCACTCGAGTACACGGAGGCCTAAGTCGGTGCCGACGTTTTTGAGAGCAGTTGGGAGCAGAATATCAGTGTATGTTTTGGAGACAATTAGGCGAATGAAAGCAATTTGTGAATCTGATGGAGGAAACAACATGTGTACAGACATTATCGGTTTCGAAATGGAACGTATACTGTCACAACCAAGAACTTGAGTGCGATGACGTGGACTGGAAGTGCACCTGTCTGTTTTCAACTACCAACCACTTGCCGTGTCGACATCTCATGCACGTAGCGCACAAAGGACATGATTCGAGATGCTTCCTGTTCTGACAATTTGCGAACGGTGGAGTACAATGCCAGCGTTGAAATCTACAGAAGTATTCACGGCTGCTGCTGATACTCTCTGTTCAATCGTGCGGATGTCGAAGTTAAGGTTGCCAAAGTTAAGGTTGCCGGATGAACCTTGTGTTGAGCTTCCTACCTCGTCAGCGCCGAAGACGTCACCGAAACAAGTTGTGTATTGTTCGCCTGCGACGACGGGAGCGTGCCAACAAGGTTGTTCTTTCTTCAGGCGAGAAGTATTCGCTTGCTAAGGCAATGGTTGAGCGTCTGCTGGAACATCTAGCCGACTTGAGCAGCGCAAACTTTTATGACGAATTACAGGCGTGGAAAAACACATTAGAAGAAGGACTGCGCCTTGGCAAATCACGTACGAAAAAAAGTGCTGTGTTTGCCGAGCACGAAAATGGAGAAGTTGAAGAAGTCGAAGATCTCGATGATGATTTGAGTTCTATTCTAGATCCAGCAGACGCAATGGCAACTGTCAAACTAATGGAAGATCTGCAAATCGACAACCAGGATGGCGCCATGGATAGTATCAACAGTGGTGATGACGTCCCTCCAACACAACTCGCAAAAGAACAAAAGGTGAAGTCACATACTCCACCTCGTGCCACTAGCTTTGGTGAGCCGACTTCTGGCTCCA